TTCAGATACTATCCATTCCACTCAAGACTGTACCCCACATGTTATAACATGGCCAACAAAAACTCAAGAGGTTACCATTACTGCCAGTAGACCTACTACTGCTGAACCTCAATTTACATTCAACTTTGAAAAAATCTTTCTTCATCAACCACTTAATGGTGAAGGTGATATTATCTTTACAGCATAAGATCTCAAAGAGTATGCTGAAAAAGTCTGGTATTTTACACAATAAGATAAGTCTTGAATAAAATTACTGTAAGTCAATCCTACATAAAATTCTATTTTAAATCAAAGACCTAGCTAATTATAATAGTTACTCAACCAATAAAAACCAGAGAGAATGCCACCACTTCATAGGATACATGGTAGATGGGTGGATGTGAGATAAGTGGTTTACCTGTTAGATGGAGGGTATAGGCTGAGAGGTATTTGAGATGGCTGATGTTTTTCTTATAAAAGTTTTTTTTTATACATATATACTAGCTTCTTAATTATTATTACACCCTCTACTCAACTAAAAAGTACATTATTCGACATCATAACATATCCCGTTCAGCAAAGAAGGTTAGATACTGGACCTCATAGAATTGGTCCGTGAGTACTCTCAATTAATGAATGACCTATCCCGACACGCAATTAAGCATCCTTCAAGCAGGAGGGGAATCGAGCAAACATTTCGATTTGTAGAAATTTAATGAATAGTGATACATAGGCCCCACGGTAATTCTCCCCAGTGATGAGAGCAGATTTCCTCACCACACCGTCGATGTCAACGGGTTTTTAGCCCTCTCTGTAGAACCCACCCAACCAAATCGACCATGGTACTTTCGACATTGCTAGGCATCCTTCTACCAACTATCACTCCTACTCTGACCATTCCTATCCCGACAAGGCCCTCCGGAAGACAGCCAACACCACACACAATGTGCCGATAACTAACCCCTCATTTCATCCGTAGACAACCAAGGACACATCTCCCACTGCGCCAAAAGTCTTAGTATCATACCACCTGGCTTATCTCCCCGGCCAGACAGCTAGCCTCTCCCCCATCGCCATACTCCACTCTCCACTACCGTATCCTTTTATAAAAGTCTGATTAGGGCAAAGGGAAGTTGGGCTAGCCAGAAGACAAGCCTAAAACTTCCACACTTTACTCGATTATGCGAATAGCGACAGGTGATTGTGCGGATCCTCTAGGCAAATCTGACTCCTATGAACAGGTACAAGTATGGTACAAGATAGTTCCGGAAGAGGATTGTGACCCCCGGTAGGCCCCACCCCACTAAACACAACCTCTATCCCCCCGAACTACTACCCACTGGTCCCCCCATACCCTTCTTGGCCAGGACAGTACCTGTAAAGGAATGCAGGATCTGATGGGTCAAATGTGAAGTAGTGAATGAGCTCACTCGCACTGCCCGAAGGCGCATATGGAGTCGGCCTTCGAGCAGTAATTTTTTCTACAGCACTTCACCCCTCTGGAAACATATTCTATGCCAGATGAGTGGCCCAGTTGGTTAGAACTTGATTCTAGATCGCTAGCTAACTGTTTAGTTGATAAATGCACCGGGTGCATTTGCTATATTTAGATTTTCCATGGCTTCCTTCGGCAATTGCACACCTTTTTCACGTCCGCCATCGCTGTTGTCCATACGTCGGCCGTATTTTGTAATATACCGAGTGATGTTCGGTAATTATTCGGAAAGGTGACCCGGGCGTATCACGCTCGGTCAGCCCTAAAACTAAGCGCAGCCGCAGCCGCTTCCAACTCCCACTCATCCCCCTATTGCACGAGCACGACGCCCCAATAAACAAACCGAACGTGTTTCAAGCATGTCTCCTCACCGATAGAGTAGAATAAAAGAGAACGAAACCTCCAGTACGAGGTTTACTCCGTGGTAATCGAGATCTTCGTATTCATTTCTTCCGGGATGGAGAAGTGGTGATAGAATCCCCCTAAAATGCTGTGCGTAAAGTATAGTCTGCGGTGACACTGCGGTGCGCAGTAAATTATAGCATCACTAAGTCTTAAAGATGTTACTCCCTATATCATACACCACAATGGAAGCTGCAAATGACCACAGGTACTTCTTATGCGGGGTGGTTTGTGGGACTGTGTGTATGTTAGGAGAGGTCCGAGACCCCAAACACAGGAATCCAGCAATATTATTTACTGGCATCCATTACCCCCACCACGCGGAGCACGTTTTGAAATAGTCAATCATTGATAGATTATCAATAGAACTTCACTTGAATCAGATATTGTGACTTCGGATATCATCCGTTGACAAAATTAACCACGATTCAACAATCAGTGGCAACCCACCCCTCTTCATCACCCAGTACTCTCAACAGTACCTAAAAAAATTGCACTAAGTCAACTAAGAAGAAACCATTCTGCTCAATTCTTTTTTTCAATAAACTATGCCTCCTATTCTTCGCAGTCATGCCAAAAAACATATTCCCTCCACACATCTCTCAGAGTTTACTAGGGGGAGGATTCTCAAGTTACATGAGCCTCAGATGAGATATCAGCAAATTTCCCACTACCTTAATATCTCCTACACTACTGTCAGAGACACAATTGCAAAGGGATATCAAGAGGGCAAGGAGAATAAGGGTAGAGGAAGACATCCTAAAACTACCAAGTCACAGGATGATGCTATGGTGGAGGAAGCTCTTAAAAATCGCCATACTACCTATTCTGACATTGCTGAGCAAGTTGCTCCCAATGTTTCTAGTAGGACAGTAAGGAGAAGACTTGAAAAAAAGCATCTTAGAAAGTGGATGGCACAAGAGAGAGTTCATTTGGATGAGGATCTAGCTCAAGAGAGGTTGAAATGGGCATTAGCTCATAGGCATTGGACAAAGGAGATGTGGAGAAGGAAGGCAATGTGGGGGGATGAGGTAGCTGTAGAAAGGGAAGGAGGAAAGAGGAGAAAATGGGTTTTCAGATACCCAGATGAGAAATGGAATAAGGATTGTGTTGAACCTAAGGCTAGGAGAGGGGAGAGAGGGATTAGCCAGATGATAACTGGTTGTTTTTATAGTCAAACTCATGGTCTTTTTTTGCTTGTTTTTCCTGAACCTTCTTCTGCTAGGAGTGGAGTTACTGGGAAGTCAATTATTGATGTTTATGATCATTATGACTTTCTAGGGATATGGGAGAATATCAGAGAAAAGGCTGGAGAAGAAGAGGTATTTTTTATTATTGACAATGCTAAGACTCACTTGCCTTTTAGGAGATGGCTCAGAGGCCAGGGAATTACACTCATGGAAATTCCTGCCTATTCACCAGATCTCAATCCAATTGAAAATATTTGGTCTCTAGTGAAAGGTAAGCTTCATAAGCACTACCCTGAGTTATATCTTATGAAGGGTGATGTCAATGTGGTCAAGAAGGCAATAGTAGAGGCTATTACTCATTGTTGGGAACTTCTTGACCCAAAGGTTTTTGATACTTTAGCTGGATCAATGATGGATAGAATAGAGGCAATTATTAAGGCTGATAGATGGTATACCAAATATTAATTTCTACTATGTATTTACATCTTTTAATTTTTTTTTTTGGTTTTCATGATAGTGGATTGGTGGGTGAGTGTGGTTGTCATCGCCGAAGATTTTCCTCTGTTGAATCGCGGTTAATTTTGTCCACGCACATATATATAGGTATGATACCATACCAATTTGTTACCAACGTCATCAGTCTACCGTCAACAATTTGATTCATCCCCAGAAACCATTCCATTGTATCATTTGCACTCTATCTTAGAGCCCCCGCACAGAATCCCGCCATCTGTCTCCCTGTTACTGCTGTCCGCACCCGCGATTCCGTAAATGGCTCGAAACCCAAAAAGCGGTATTCCCAACTAAATCCCATACAGTACCGGTATTTGGAACACAACATTCGGAAGGGTAATTTCTGATTACCGGGACCAGGATGTTAGATAGGCAAAGGTGGGATATTGAGCCAGGACCGCTTTATTGACAAGATTGCTTTTGTCGTCATAGCAACTATAAAAGGCATTTTATTACTCTCACAGCAATGCCTCCGGATATCGGGAATATCCCAGCTCCTAATTTTAAACCACTAATTGGATCGTGTTGACAACCGACGGTGACACTATTAACACGGTAAAAGCAGAAGAAATGATTCCACCGTTGATGATGGAGGGAGCCGAGAATACGGCATACCGGTATGCGGTGCGGCATGGTAAGACAAGTTTTGACCGGCAGTTGGCAACAGCATGAGAGGGGATTTGGTGGGCTGAATAAAAGGGAAAAAAAGAAAGAAAGAAAAAAGGCGCCCCGAGGAAGCACTGGATTCGTAAGGAGAAGACCTTCTCGCTTCATGATATCGATCCCGCGTTTGAGATCTAGAGCATCTCCACCACGCGATACGTTCGCAATGACTGTGAAATGGGATGCCCCGGCATATTCGTCTTGTCTCTCTTGCGGTGGTTTCTGAAGCATCCCGAAGTCTCAACTTCCATTCGCCAGTTCCGAATTTTTGTGGGAGGGCAAATAAGCGCCAGATGGTTGGGTTGTCTTTGAATTGTTGCAGTTTCCCTCCCTCTTCCCTGACGGTAGCCAGTGAACCACTCCCAGCGGCTCCATTCCGTTGCTGGGGATACACAGTAACAGCTCAGTTGCAACTCCGAGAGGTTAGAGGGGAGGAAAAAAAAACGAGAAGGCCGAGGAGGGCGGTGGGAGTTATAGTTATCATACCTGTTTGATGCTCGAGTATGCTCAGTACTGTGTGCCATTATTGAGCACATGATATGATCAGAGTGCTCAAAGAAACGCAAGTTAATTGAAGCGCAGAAAAGAGCCACTCATTGTAATACAAGTGCTACCGGCACTGCATACATGAGGTTTTTTTTTTCTTTTCTTTTTTTTTTTCGCATAACCGCAGCAACAAACTTTGCCATAGTGTACAAGTACAGTACCTACACAGAACTTTCTACCTAATACCATAGTACAGCGCGCAAGACCACAGTGGTTCGCACAGCTGGGCTCCGTCCTTCCTTCATTTCACCACTAAATACGAGAGAAAACATTATATTCTCATTTTTATTTTTTCACCTCTCTTCCCCTTGTGGACCCTTCCCGTTTCTCTTCTTCCACACAATTGTTCGTTCATTCCTCTCGCTACTCCGTGGAGCTGTGGTAAACGACCCACCACCGCCTTCCTCTCCCGCTCCTTTGCCAACATCTCGACCACCCACCTTTCCCTTCTCCCCTACCGTGCCCATACATTCCTCTTCCCCCTCCATTCCTTGCCACCGCCCTCCCTTCGTTTCTTTCCTACATCTACTGTACAGTACTTTCTTTTCTTGCAACTCCCGTCATACGTTCTTTACTCTCCTAACTCCCTTCCCCTTCATCCCCTTTTTCTCTTATCAAAAATGCATACAAGCACCTCCTACTCCCCTAGTACGGGAGTACCAACAAACCCCTCCCGATTTGCACCTCCTCGACGTTCGCTATCGTTCATGAGGACGTCTTCGGTGCTGCCCGATATTTCAGAGCATTCACCTGCACCTCCGCGTTCACCTTCCCCGAACCACTTGCGACTCCCTCCGTCGGTACGTTCGGTTTCTGTTGCCTCGTTTCTCTCGGACGGCACGATAGAGATAGAAGGTTTCGGCTTCGACAATTCTTCGGAGATCGGTGATGATACGAGTATTTACGGGGAAAGCATGTATGAGGGGAGTGTCTACGAAGGGGAGGATAGATCCGACCTATCGTGGAAAGCCGAGAGGATTTTGGCCAATGCGAAGAAAAAGTTGGATTTGTGCGGACAGAATATTTCCCGTGCCAGATCTTCGCTCATACTTTCCCCGTCCACTACGCCCACTAGCTTTACAGAGCAACTAGAATCAGTCGCCGTGCTACCGAAACAATTGCCGAGTTTGCATTCACAGAGGTTCAAGTTTAACAACAACAATAGCTCATCACATGGTAGGGCCGCAAGTGAAAGCGCAGTCCCTAGGTCGTATTCTTCACATAATTCTGCGAATGGGAGGAGTAATGGTAGGAGTGGTGATGGATTGGGATTGAGGACAATCGAGGACGTGAATGAACATTTATCCGAGATTGAAAGGCCGCAGTCGGAAATGTCGAGGTCGAAGAGCACCCAGCAGATGAGGGTGTTGAGAGATCAGATGAAGGACCTGAGAGGGAAAATTACTTCACTACAACAACAAACTCGCTCGGACTCAATGAAGCGGCGGAGCATTAGTAGCCTTAGGTCTACGCCGAACCCCTACGAGTCACATGATAGCGTCACTCCAACCCTAGACAATATTAAGCAGGAGAGGGCACATAGGGGGAATGAGAATTGGCGAACAATTGATCACGAAGATGACATACCGGATGACTATTCTAGCAGAAGTGGGACTCCCCGTCCAAGACCCTTTCGCAACTCAGCATCGCCATTTGAAGAACGACATGAAGACAGGGAAGATGCGTTTTCATATGATGCCTTGTTCTATGGGAACGGGGTATATGCCGGAAGCAACGGCACTATAACAAGGCCCATGTCGTACAGTAGCGATGGAACAAACTCAACCACAACAGCCGTAATGGAACCCCTCAAAGCTTCTCCGTCGCCCCCTTCGACAATGAAGAGGAGCGATAGCCACGGTTCGATCGAATCCTTCGAAACAGCAGCCGAAGTCCCATCCCCCGTGCCACGACGCCCGACTGAACCAAGTCTGCCTGTCATGGCTTCAGAATGGTTAACCCCGACAGCCTCTTCACCCCGCGACGATGGCTATCATAGTGCACCACATACACCCCGCTCTCCATACTCTACCAACGTAGCCTTCTCGAAAGCGAAGCCCCCGGTGATAACAAACTCACTAAGCGGCTCCTCGATATACCTTCCACCCCCAGAGACTCAAAAATCCCAGAAACGCAAATCCTCCATCGCGATCGGCGCTTCAGAATCAATCGATTCGGTGCTGGTCACCAATGCAGACAATGTCAGTGAGATTGAGCTGAAACTCGGCGAGGGGGATAGGGACCTGATAGAGCGGATGATAGAAGGCCTTGGAAGTTTCTGCTGCAAAATGGAAATGGAACGTCGTGAAGACATGCGGGAGGAATACAGGCGCCGGCTCGAGTGCGCACTCCGAGTACTACAAGGAGTGGAAGTATACGATGACGAAGATGACGAAACCTTTTGATCAATTTCGGTGCCTGCTCTCGCCCCGCCCGTGTGCTTATTGTTTGCAGTTTGGTTGGCTGTCTTGGTAGAATAAGAAAAGCTAAACGCTCATTTTTTTCTCAATTTTCTATTCACTTATCTTTTTTCCCATAGTATCAAACCCCTTTTACTTGCTTCTTCTTAATTTCCCAGCATGAGTGAATTCCCTGGGTGGAATCTGCCGGGGCAATCGCAAGGAGTTTTTTCTGTTGTTTAATAGTATTATCCATGGTGGGCGTGCTTGTTGCGGGGCTAGTCTTAATTGGAGAAGGTAATGCAGTAAATGAATGGGAAATGGCTGGCCGGCAGAGTTGGCCATGCCATGACCCGTATACACTCTTTTCTCTTATTTTTGCTGAACGTTCGTCACGAATGATCACTCGCGCGATTTGACCTTTGCGATGTTTTGGTGGTTGTCCTCAACGTCATTCAGGGGTCCAGCTTATATTTTCGATAGTATGGGGTTGACTTTGTCCGTATAATGCGCCGGAGCTATCTATAGGGCCCCTTTTTTTTTCCCCGTCATTTTTCCCCAAAAAGAGGCTCAGATAGAAAAGCGATGACTTACCTAGATAAGACTTTCCAGATATTAGCCACCTTTCTCTCCTTCACCACCTGTAGAGTACTGTACAAATCCCATCAAACATCCTCCGCCTCTATTTCTAACAACACAATAAAACGAAAGACGATACGCTATCGCTTATCATCAAATCCTTCCTGATATCACAAAGAACGCCCCTTCGGGCGATAAATGACTCACCACAGTAGCAAGAGTTGGGACATGGGTGGACAGCGTAGCCCCCTCCCTCTATCGTCTTGCTGTGCTGGTTATACTTGAGTCCGGTGGCACTAACTGAGCAGACCCCCATATATATAATATTATATATAAATACGCATACCACAATGTTTGCAATCACACTCTCACTAATGTTGGGAATGGATCCTATTCGATGCTCAGACTAGCCCTTTTACCCGCGGGATAGATGGGCAGATAGATAGAAAGAGCGTTGGGTGGTGGGTCGGTGTAAATATAGGTCATGACGAGTGCTGCGGGTTTTATTGCCATGGAGGTGGTTGGTGGGGGTGGGGGTGGGGGTGAGGGTCCTGGTGCGGTATATAAGTCCCTGCGGTGTCCCGTTCCTTTTGGCGATTTCTGGATGGATGGATAATGAGCCTGCTGGGAGGGAGGGGAGGAGGGGTTTCTGTAGCCGTCCTTCGAGGCTGAGGAATTGTGCGGTACTAAAAAGCTGGATTTTTTGTTGTCCTTATTTATTATTGTTGGCTCCTCTCTCTCTCTCTTTTTATTTTTTTTCTTTTTGCTTCATTCTTCTTCCCCCTTAAGTCACCGGTACTACTGATACGTCGGGAAGATGGTGCTTCTTCTCACTACGATATCGATACCGGCCCGCTTCCCTTGCCGACCAACGGCGGGCCACACTCTTGGCAACAACATTGGAAACCATTACGACATCCACGTGATCAGGTGAAACGAAACCACCTCCCGTCGCGTCTTCCTCCTCCGAGCTTTTCTTTTCTTTTCTTTCCCCTTCTCTTAAACCTTAAACTTACCCACCATCACATACCGGTCTGTACACATAACGCTTTGACGAAATCGGGCTCACTGTTCCAACTTGGAATACAATATCCATAATACCCTGGTATTCACAGTACAAGAAGGGGCGGAGATGAGGAGCCCATCCTATGGGATGGAAGAATCAGGCGAATCAAGGCCTTCGCTCTCAAACACTCGTTCTGTTTGGAACGATCGTTTCCGGGAATGATGAGGTGTAGTTCTCATATCACATCATATCAACAGAGTCGGTAAAGTTGCACGTTTTCCTCTCTCATTCCTTTGCTATTATACTGCATCCTGCGTCCTTCGGCGGGGTGATTTACCACCGTACGTGGGTCGTTATTCTTCCCCCACTGATGAAACATTCGTCGGGGGGGGAAGGGGGGAGGAGTTCATTATTCACATAACCACGTAGACCGTTGGGGATGCTGAGTTTCATCGATCTATCTCTCTTGGTTTTTATCTTTATCTTTATTTTTATCCTCTTTACATTATGGCCGTTTATTTATTCACTTCACCCTCTGTCTACCTGTCAAGAGGGGCTCAGATGTTGCTGTTTCTGTAATGCATGTATATTCCTGTCCTATCCACCGGCTTTATTTCTTAAATTTTTCCCCTCCCCCGAAAGATCTATGACGCGTGTTTGTTGAGTTTTTCCCTCCTTCCTGAAACTCTGGGTCGTCCAGCCTGATGTCTGGCGCCCAATTTCATCATTTTCGTCTTTCTGCTTCCTTTCCTGTGATGGAAAAATGAATGCATACCTTTTCCTTGCCTCGTTCGCCCATGTTTTTTATTTTTATTTTTTATCATTTTTATTTTTTTTATCATTTTTATTTCTTTTGTCAACACTGACCCGACCCGACACTCTGGGCGTTCGCTCAGTTTTCAGTTTCCGATAAGCATTCCCAACTTTGTTGGCCAACGTCATACCGCCCCCAAGTGAGAAGGAAAGCTACAGCCACCTTATTACAGTTATGCACGCGGCTGTTCTTAGGGTTAGGTGAGAAGCTATCAACACTCAATAGGAGGAGGGAGGGAGGAAAAAGGAAAGAAAACGGAAGAGGAGGAAGGGAAGGGGGGAAGAAGGGGGGAAGAAGGGGGAAGAAGGGGGGAAAGGAAAGAAAGAATTGAAGGCTATTAACTATAAAAAAACTCCACCCCCCCACCACCCCCCCCCACTTCCTTCCCTTGAACCCTCCTTTTCTCGGTGGCAGTACTCAAGTGCATTTCCTGTCCTACCTTCACCCCCCGAAGTAGGGGGAAAGAAGCTACGTGAAGCGAAACCGGGGTCCAACAACGATAATCACGGGGGTGACGGCGGCAAACCCAAAACTCCTCTCGACATACCCACGATCCGGGATGAAGAAAAAGGCATTCGACCCGCCCAAGATCATGCCATTGCTCGACTTCCCGAACGAGCTCATACTCCTGATAGCCGAGAGCCTCCTGGACGTTAAGTCCCTCTCCGCCCTGATCTTAACGAATAGACGCCTATCCTCCCTCCTAACGCCACACCTACACCACAGAGCAAGCGAGGACAAGGACGGCATCCCAGCGCTCCTATGGGCCGCCTGGCGCGGCCACGGACCCCTCGTCCGCCTACTCCTAGACATGGGCGCGGACATCGACATGACGCACTCGGAGGATAAGAAGACAGCGTTGCACAAAGCCGTCTGGTACGAACACCTCGACGTCCTGCGCGTCCTCCTGGACAGGGGCGCCGACGTACACGCGCGGGCAACGCACGGCTACACAGTACTCCACCTCGTCGCCATCGGAACGCGTAATTCCTCCGAAGCGATAGCCCGTCTCCTCCTGGACCGGGGAGCGGACCCGGACGTGCAGAACGAGCACAAGGTCACGCCGCTGCACCTCGCCGTGCAGCAGACGAGCACAAACCTCGTCGCCATTGCAAGGCTCTTCCTGGAGAAGGGCGCCAAGCGTAATCCACGGAATGGGTCGGGGGATACGCCCCTGCACCACGCCACTCGCTTCGGCAGGAAGGAGATGGTTCGGTTGCTGTTGGGTAGTGGCGCGGATGTCAATGCCCTGGATTACTTTGGCGATACGGCCTTGCACATTGCCATCGAGCGACATAATGAGCCCTGCGCTAGGATCTTGCTCGAGTACGGTGCTGACCCTTACGTCAAGGATAGCTCCGGAAACACCGTGTGGGATTGGGTGCACTCGGGCGCTATGTGGGAGAGTCAGGAGGATGTAATTATGGCGGAGAGGTTAGCCGACATGATGGGGAAGATGTGCTTTGGCAAAGGCTCGCAAGGGAGGAGGTGTGAGCGTGAGCGTGAGAGGGAGAGGAGGACCATTACTTCCGGTTGAAATCGTTTCGCACCTTGCTTTATCATAGCGTCCCGCTTTATCATAGCGCGTCGTTTTGTTCTTGCTTGCTTACTCGCCTTGCACTTGTTTTCTGCTTTTTTTCATTTCAAATTTTTCTCCTTCACCCTTTCCCCTACCATCATCTCATCATCGTCCTTCATAACATCATAACATAACATCTGGTATCAGCGGCGTTGGAGGTAGCACACTGAGGCATGAGGGGGGGCGCATTTACATTTTTTGTTTACCCATTTTATCTACTTTATTTCCCTCCTTCCCCTAAAAGCTCCTTCGATCCGAACCTCTTTTCTTCTCCCCGGTATGCATCTTGCTCTAAAATTATAGACTTCATCTTTTTGTAATCGTTAGGGAAATCTATTCATACATTATTATCATTCACCTGTGCAAAGTCCAGTGGATCATATTCTGCGCGCGGGATGAGCGTGGGGGGCTTCCCGAGTGATTCAAAATGACGATATGCGCAGGACACCAAGCCAATGCGGTATGTGCAGTGCAGCACAGTACTCATACAGTACGGCATCATAATTACTCGACGAGTACTCGTATACTCGAGTAAACATCCAGCAGCCCTAGTCCACGGGCAACAACCTGAACACCCTATCATAATAATTCTCACACGTATGAGTCACGAGAAAAAGGAAGAAAAAAAGACCTCACGAGTCAACGATGCGGGAGAATGCATCAGAGAAATAACACATCATCTCACAAAGTAATGATAGAAATTCCCCAATCTTGGAGTTTTTTTTTTTTTTTTTTTTATCCTCTTAACCGATTCCGTGAAACTCGATTTTGATAAATTCACAATACCGTAAGTAAGTTTAAAAGTAGGGCATATTTGGATGTCCAGAGATTGAATCCATGGAATTCCAGAAACAGAGAATCGAGAAGAGATTTTTTCGAAGGCAAATTTCATTGGCTGGAAAGTTTTGTGGAAAGTAGGCTTAAAGTGGGATGTTTTACATGCAACCGATAACTTACAAGTATATTCCGATGTATGATATGATAATCCAAAGGTATGGTGGCAGGTGGGGTGTCGCACCCGCCTTCCG